TCTCTCTCTCTCTCTCTCTCTCTCTCTCTCTCTCTCTCTCTCTCTCTCTCTCTCTCTGGGCATGCCTTTCTCGTCTCTTTCTGTGTGTTTGTAGATCCTCCTTGCCTCCTTTTCCTCCCTCTCTCTGTTTTTGAGTGTGCCTCTATGTGTGATAAGCCTTCATCTATCCCAACTTTATGATGTATGATCATTGTCATAGATTTCTACGCGGTTTAGAGCAGATGATTTTCTCTCGAAGAGAGCCGGACAGCTAAGCTTCTTCCTCTTCTTCTCGTCCTCCTCCTCCTGCCGCTGCTGCTGCTCCTGCTGCATCTCCTACTCTTGCTCCTCTTTCCCCTTCATCTTCTCGTCCTCCTTCAGTCTGTACGTTTCTCTTTCTCCGTCGCCCCCTCCTTTCCCCACATCCTCGCTCTCGCTATATTCCCTTTCGCTATTGTTGTGGTCGTCCTCCTAAACTTGCAAAACCACTTCTCTTGCTTGCAACACAGAACCCCCAAACCCGCCAGAAACAGCACATACGAGAAAATCGGAGAAACTAAAATGCGGAAGAAATGAAATCAGACCGTAACCCAACGCATGTGGACCATGATGTGGTTGTGTGGTAAAGACATCATTGTGTTACAGTCTAAACATGTGTAGGGCGCCATGTCTGCCTTTTGCACAATTGCTTGCGGAAGAAAACACATCTAATTCATTCGTTCAAATCCAGCAAATTTTCAATACGATACACTTTGGGCGAAGGATTGTTCCATGCTGAGATTCGTCCTTCTTCACAGAATTCCTTTTCCACCCGCCTGCCGCTCGGATGACAGCACGTAAACMCCCCCCCCCCCCGGCGCACTCCTACTTCCACTATCCTACCTCAGTGTCTACCACTCAGGATCGTCACCCTCCAGCCTGTGGGTGACCGGACCGAACTGTGGTTGTAGGTACCAAGGCTAAGCTGAGTCCCACACACCCTGGGTGGTGCGCAAGCAGTGTCTGAAATAGCTTACCTGCGTCATCCCCTGTGAAACCGCTCAAGTTTTTGAGCGCCACTCAATCCCGCGCTCAAAGCGCCTCCAGCGGGGTTTGAGTGGGTGCGGGAATATTTTTTTCTCCAGGAAAACATACGCAAAAAAAAAAATTAAAAAAAATATAGGGTTGTAGAACGTTTTGAGATCTACAACCCGGTATTTTTTATTTTATTTTTTGAAGTTTGGCTATATTTAAAAAAAAATATCAAAAACATGAAAATAAAGAAAGAAAGAAAAAAAAAAGATATAATGGATGGGTTTTTCTTTTTTTTCATAGAGATTGTTTCGCAGGCAAACAATAAACAAAAATAATAATAATAAATATAATGGTGTAGATCTTTTGGATATCTACAACCCCATTTTTTATTTTTATTTTTTAAGTTCATATGTATTTAAAAAAAAATAAAAAGCAGAAAAAGCAGAAAAAACAAGACACACACACATAGACAACCCCCCCAACCCCCCAACCTCCCCCCCCCTACAAAAAAGCACCCCTACCCACATATTCATTTTTTCCACACAACCCCCCCTATGGCATCCCCTGCACTCGCGCAACCCCCTCAGGTGTGCAAGCTTTTTTTTTTACTAGCGCGCGCCAGAAAACGCTTTGAGGGGGGGGGGGTAAGTGCGCACGCTCGCGCTTAAGCGAGCTCGTACGGTTCCATAGGTCAGCCCAGGGGAGTGTGTGTCCAGCCATGCGTCATTCTAATGCCCTGCCGGTGTCCATGCGCAAGGCTGCGGAGTTTCGAACCTGCAACCTCATACCGCAATGCACATTTCCAACCGGTGCTCTAACCACTGAGCTACATCAACTCGTCTACCACTCAGGATCGTCACCCTCCAACCTGGGGGTGACCTGACCGAACCGTGGTGTGAAGAACCACTTCCCGACCCCGTGCCATCTTTCGTACCCTTTATTTTGCTTGTATCATATCAACCCCAGGAAAACCCCGTTTTGAGTTATTGCTTTCGGGTGCCGCATTTTCCTTTTTGAGAGCTCTTTCGGCTGCTGAGTTCTGTTTTTTTTCTTGCAAAGTCGGGAAATACATGGGAATTTACGTGCGCCTTAGCGAGCGAACTGGGAATTGGGCTCGATAGTTGGGAATTCCGGGATAACCGGAGCTTCGACGTGTCCTTTTTGGGTGTGTGAATGTTCTTGGGCGCGTCGGGGAAAACTCTCGGAATTTTGCGTGAATACAAATAGGCGTAGGATTTTCTTTTCCCGTGTTGCTTTTTCGCGCCCGGATATGGTGATTTCAATTTTTGAATTAGGATAGAAGCAAGCTGTAACTGTTTCGGTGCCTTTTTTTTTTTTTTTTTTGACGGCGCCGTGCATGCAAAAGCTTCCTCCTCTCTGTCCCCCGCATCGCTCCCTCCCGCGCCTCCCTTCCCTTCTCCGTCCTTTTTCTCTCTCCCCGTAACTGTTTTTCCTTCTCCCTCTCTCTCTCTCCCGCCTTGCTTTCGCGCGCCCATTTCCCTTTCTTGATCAATTGAATCTTGGACCCGTCTTGCGCCACCTCTCGCGCCTTTTCTCTTCTCACCCCCTACGTCAAGCGTACGACGCCCGGTCGATCCCCCGATAACTCCCGCTCGCCAATCAGGTGTGTGGATCGACAGGACCTTCCTATCGCGCAATGAATCTGATTGGTTGAACCTTGATGTTCTGAGGGATCAGCATGGCGTTCGTAAAGCACTCTTCTCAAAGTCTTCTCCTCTTGCTTCTCCTCTTACACCTCAGCTCTCCTGTCGCCTTCTCCCCCTTGTATCTCCCCTGTCGCAACTATAAAACCCGCAAGCGCGTCCGCAAATCTCTCTTACGTTCTCGACTCTCAAGCCGGTTTCCGGGAAGCAGTGGCTACGCAGAGTGTTTGAAGCGATTCGGAAAGTCCTGTCAGGCGGACGATAGACTGGCCGGTTGGGCGCTGGATCGCCACGACGGACTGTGGGATCTGGGTGAACCGTGTCGAGTTTACGACAGCGGGGTGACGATCGCAGTGGTGGGAGTTAGCACGCGGCGGCCGGGATCGTTGGTGCGGGTATGAGGATCGATGTTGAGTTGATTGGCCGAGGGCCATATTGGAATTAACGGTGAATGCGCCTTTGTTGTGGATTGTTATCTTTGGCGTGAGTGTACGGCGGTGACGCCGAACTTTTCTCTTCCTTGATCTTGTCATCTTCTATTTTGGACTTTCTTTCCCTCGACTCTCTCTCTCTCTCTCTCTCTCTCTCTCTCTCTCTCTCTCTCTCTCTCTCTCTCT